CTTCCTGAAACATGTTCTGATAGCAAAAGACTTTTGACATTTCAAGACTAGTTACATACTTTATCAATGTTTATCATTTATGCTGTATCATTGTATCATACTTTAACACCATCAATGATTCAATGATAGACTTGGACATGTTCCACAAAACTCTTGAGTCTTGACCAAAAGGTTTTGGGATATAGCATGAAAGAACCTTGGAAGCAACCAAAGGAAGAGTGGAGTCACAGCCTGTACAAAAGTTCTCGCAGGTACACACGGGTGATCAATCCGTGCTTCCCAAGGAGTGCTCAGTGCCCCTGCGTTTTTTAAACTCTTGGATACAGAGTGTGACACACACACACACATACGTGTGCCCGAATCGAAGGAAGAGCTGGTGCTGGCTGATTGGTTGGACGACAACCAGGTCCTTGCGGTCAAGGTGATGTGCAGCGCAAACCTCAGCGCAAACCTCATGCGCTCTGATGTCAAAGCAAAGGCCAAGTGGAAGAGCGAGACGGATTGCGAACCTATCACGGCCCGCGATTTTGCCAAACACCATTACATCAAGTGCCTCCTTGGATACGCGAATTCAGCGTCAGACGGCGCGTATCTCAATGTGCGGGCATGCCTTTTAAAGAGCCATATAGGGCACTTCAGCGATTGCCCCTTTTCACCAGACGTCAACTTTTGAGGTGTGCGCAGCCACCAGAAAAGAACGCGCCATTTTCACCAGACATCAACTATCGAGGTGCGCGTTGCCACCAGAAAAGGACGCGCCATTTTCACCAGACGTCAACTTTTGAGGTGCGCGCTGCCACCAGAAAAGGACGCGCATTTTCACCAGACGTCAACTTTTGAGGTGCGCGCAGCCACCAGAAAAGAAAAGGACGCACCATTTTCTGCGCGTGATCGAGGTGGATGCGGCATCGCCCGATTTAGTTACCAACGCCTCGACCCAGAATTTTGCCGCCGCGCTGGTTTTGTTCGAAGATGTTGGCAGATGGGCGTGGCGGATGAACTGGAATCATTCTCAGAAGGAATATTGGTCGGGAGATGATCCGGGCTTGAGATGCTGCCTGGGATCCGTTGGGCGTCATCCTCAGACACCAAGGTTCGAGTCCTTTGAGGTGCTCATGAGCGTCCACAGTGTTCAGGATGTCCAGAATGAGGGCATGCTACTGGGGCTGAAAGACTGGGGTTTTGACGTGAGAGTGGTGACAGCATGTGTTTTTTGGGGTCATCCGGATGGAGGAATATGATTGAACATGATTGAACAATGCTTTTTACAATGTTATATATATATATCTCTATCTCTGTTTGTATGTACAGCCCATATATACTCCGCTATAGGTACTGCAGACACGTGACTCTTGACGTGTTTTGGCTCAAGGTGAAAAAGGCGTTCCGTAACGTCGACACTTTGTTTTCATGGTAGCGCGTGAGCCCGGTGAAAGCGAAAGGGACCAAGCGCTGCGCATCAAGGAAGAGAGACATAGTAAGGTAGAGACCTCTGAGGAGGAGGATCAGGAAATCCCGGGAGCGGCCGCTTCGGCCGCCCCGAGTGGAAAGGAAGAAAAGGAGGAGGAGCCTTTGCCAGCCACATCAGCGGCGGAACCAGCCGCAAACACCACTCCGGCGGTTGTAGAAACTGCCGAAACAACATCAGCGGTTGAAGGAACCGCGGAAACAAAAGAAGAAGAAGAAGAGACCACAAAAGAGAAAGAAGGAGGAGAAGAAGAAAAGCCTGAACAAGACCCCATAGTAGAGCCAGAGGCTGAAGCGGCTGATCCAGCCGCACAGCCATCCTCATCTGGCCGAGTGATCGCCGACTTCATCACATCCCCTGAGGGTATCAAAACAGGTTGGGAGGTTCGTGGCATTCACGCCAAATATACCCCAGCCAAAGTTGATCCTAAGGCACCTTGGAGGGTGAAGAAGAACATTTGGGGACAGGTCAAGAAGCATCCAGAGCCACAATCCGGATTTCGACTCCGAAGCAAGACCTCGCTTCAGTACCGGAGGCTCAAGGACCTGGTCAGGCTGCAGAAGAAGAAGGGTGTCATCACAGAGGATCTGAGGAGGCGCATCAAAGAGTTTGGAAAAGGGCGCACTCCACAAGAGATCAAAGAAGAGCGGGAAGAGCAGAGGATCTGCAATCAGGAGAAGCGGACCAAGAAAAGGAAGACCTCAGAAGCGGCTGATCCAGCCGAGGAGGAGGAGGTCGAAGAAGAAGAAGAGTCGGTGAGCCATCCAAGTCCGGTTCGACAGCCTCGAACACCGGACGGGCCACCGCCGGCTAAGCGACCGCAAACCCGCGACACCACGCGGGGACGGGCGGTCTGGGGGCGTGCGCTGGAGTTGAACCTCCGCATCGTCGCCCTAGCCAACGAACGGGCCCAGCGATTGACGATAGAAAATTGGAAATTAGAGAGCCCGTTCCAAGTGCGAAAGTTTGCGGCCGACGAACTTTGCGAGCAACGGAACCTCAAGGGCACCGTTGCATTGGCCGCCATTCGCGAATTGCGGAAGACCCCCAACGAACAAGGAAAAAGAGGATCCAACGAGGCCTGTAGTTCTTGTGACGAACGGCGGCAGGCACAGCTGCCGGTGGTGAAGGACTACATCAAACGGCGAGGACTTAAGGGACCTGCCGTTCTTGGATCGAGCGCCAAGTCCAAAGCGGCGCCAGCAGTGAGCCTGACACCTGGGCCGAAAGTGAAGGCCAAATCAAAGGCCGGACCAAAAGGAAAGGCCAAACCATCCGCCGCACCAAAAGTAGCGGCTGAAGCGAAGGCCACAACTGTGGGTCGTCGCCCGGAAGAACTCACACGGACTACTGCTGAAGTCCGTGGAGCGCCAAAACCTTCCGATCCTTGACCGGGCGAACTTCCCGCGACTGCCGCTGGAAAAGGAGTGAGCGGCAGCAGCAGCAGGGGTTGAGGGTAGGAAACCATGGAACAACAGATCCAACAACTGAGTGAAATGGTACTTCAACTCCAACAGAACCAAGCGAGGTTGGAGCAAGAGAATCAAGTGTTGAGGGAGTCTCAAGGTGGGGTATCAATGCTAGCCTCAGCTGTAGGAGAGTTGGCTAAAAGCCTTGAGAAGAAAGAAGATAGGAGAAAGTCCCAAATCCTCATGGACACCAAGGGGTTGGGGCGGCCCGAGAGTTTTGGGAATGTTGAAGGGGATTTTCGAAAATGGGCCAGGAGCATTGACAACCTGTTCATAACTACTTTTGGGAGAGAGTTCATTGAAGTCCTGGAGTATATTTTGGAGCAGGAAGACGCGATTGAATTGAGTGCTATGGAGTCCGCGTTTGGGACTGGAACCATAGCAGCTATTGATGATCTAGAGGATAAAGCTGATCAAATTCATCGCGTGCTCCTGACCCTAACCTCAGGTGAAACAGAGGATTTGATGGTAGGAGCTTCAAATGGGTTTGAAGCATATCGGCGAGTTCACCGCCGTTGGGATCCCCGAACCTCGGGACGGAAACGCAATATACTTCGAGCGATTCTCCAACCGGAGAGAGTCAAGACATGGGCCGCGGTGAGGCCAGCGATCGAACAGCTCGAAGAGCTCATCAGGCGGTACGAGTCTCGGAGGAGTGCCGCAGGGATCAGGGAAACCCTATCGGACGATATCAAGTCCGCTTCATTGGAGATGCTGGTACCCCCAGATTTGGAAAAGCATCTTTTGTTGAACAAGAGTAGATTGACAACCTACTCGTTGATCAAACAGGAGATTGAACTTGTCATTGAAACATCCCTCACATCAAAGTCATCTGTTCCAAAACCAGGTTCATCAAGTTCGAGTTATCAAGGACCTCAACCCATGGACGTCGATTCGATCGGACAGTGGATCGCAAGCCTGGTCAAAGGAAAAGGTAAAGGAAAAGGTAAACAGGCCAAAGGTGATGGAAAGAAAGGCTCAAGTAAAGGGGGCTCAAGTAAAGGCTCAAACCCGGCTCAAGATATTACCTGCTACAATTGCGGTAAGGAAGGACACCGAGCGGCCGATTGCTGGAGCAAGAAACGGCCGGATGGAAAAGGCGATAAATGGTCAGGTTCAGGCAAAGGAGATAGGAGTGGCAAAGGTGGCAAAGGCAGCAAAGGCAAAGGTGGAAAAGGCGGCAAAGGTAAAGCCGCAGGAAGTATGGAAGAGATGGACGAACCGGATGATGGCATTGAGCCAGCTCCGGAAGCCGATGTCGGCATGCTCATGGCAGACTTGAGTGGAATTGGAATGGCGGATACCTCATCCGCCGAAGAATGGATGAAGTTTAACCTGGACACTGGAGCAGCCCAGACAGCCATCCCGAATGGCTGGGAGGATCGAGTGGTTGTCAGTGAAGGCAACGGAGTTGTATTCAAGACTGCATCAGGAGAGCTGGTGCCCAGTCAGGGCATTGGAACCTTTGAAGGGTTCGACGAGAGCGGCAACAAATGCCGTGTGAAAGGTTCAATGGCTGATGTCCACAAGCCATTGATTTCAGCATCCAAGTGCTTAGGCTTTGGAAGGATTGCAGTTCTTGATGCAAAAGGCGGAAACTTGATTCCGCAAGGGTCCAAAGTTGGAAAGGCTGTCCAGGCGATCCTGGAGAGAGCGAACGCTGCAGAGCAGCGGAGTTGGATCCCTGTATATCAGGAGCAGGGAGTGTACAACTTCTACTTGAGAAAGCCAGGTTTTAAACCGACAAAGGAATGCTGTGGCATCGCAGAGTTGAACGCCACAGGAGAAAGAGGAGATGCCTCTATGGATTCAGGCCGACCTGGTCCAGAGGGGCGAGAAGAGGATGATGAGTTGGAATTAGTTGATGAGGTTGAGAAACCCATCCAGATAAGAGCACCGGAGGACCCAACTCCGGCTGAGATCGAAGAGCACGAGGCGACAGGCCATGTGCAGTATCGAAGTTGGTGCCGGCATTGTATTGCTGGACGGGCTGTGGGACAGCCACATCGGACGAGGTCCGAGGAAGAGAAGGCCAAGAGCCTTGTGCCCACAGTGGCAATGGACTATACGTTCATGTCACGGGGCGGTGTGGAGGACGAGCGAGTGAAGCCGATCCTCGTAATAAAGGATGAGAGGACGCAGTCCTTAGCGGCGACCTTCGTGGACTCGAAGGGAGCGACGCCGTATGCAGTGAAGTTCGCCACGAACTTCCTGAAGAACTTGGGACACCGCAAGGTGGTTCTCAAGTCAGATGGTGAGCCATCAGTGGTAGCCTTGAAAGAGGCAGCGGCGAAAGAAACCGGCATAGACTGGGTTTCGGAAAAGTCGCCAGTAGGAGACCATCAGGCGAATGGTCTGGCAGAGAACGCCTGCAAGGAAATCAAGCGTCAAGTACGAGTTCTCCGCAGCGCGTTGGAAGAGAAGCTCGGAAGAGAGCTCAAAGATGATGATCCTGCATTGGCATGGCTGCCAAGGCAGGCGGGAGACCTGTTGAGCAGGTACAAGAAAGGTCAAGATGGCAGAACGCCTGAGGCCAGAAGATGTGGAAAGCAATGGCGAAAACCTGCCATAGCTTTTGGTGAACGCCTATACTTTAGAGAAGTAGGCGAGGGAGTTCGCATCCTGAAAGAAGGACGCTATGTAGGACACCACGGCCGAACAGGATCCATTTTGGTGATGACGGCCGATGGCGTGCGAAGAGGCACAGGAATCCGGCGGCTGAGTTCAGCCGACCGCTGGGACCCAAGCGATTGGGACCTTTTGCGGGGCTTACCGTGGGAGCACTCCGCGGCGAGGCCTGCCACTGAGCAGTTGATGCTCGAAGAGCGCCTTGTGGTACCACCCCCTAAAGAGGAACGAGTGGCACCGCCACAACAGAGGCGAGTGTACATCAGGAGAGAGGATGTGCACAAGCATGGAGCCACGGAAGGCTGCCCAGGATGCAGGTGCATCTTGGAAGACAAGAGGACGACCTTGCCGCACACAGAGGCGTGCAGAGCAAGGATCACCGAAGCAATGGAAAAGGATGAAGCTGGGCAAGCGAGACTTGAAGCCCATGCAAAGAAGAGGAAAGAACGGCAACAGCTTGACACTGTGAAGCCGAAAGTCGCGGCCGACAAGGACACCGACATCACGGCCGAAGACGCGGCCGGAGAACCAGAGAAGAAAGAAGAAGCAAAGAGCGCAGGGTCGAGAAGCCCGCCGCCAACAGCGGCAGAAGGTGAGAAGACCTATCCCGATGACCCGAAAGAGAGATATGAGATGAAGAGGCAAGCAGCCGAGATAGAGAAGAAACCAGTGGCAAAAGCCAAGGTAGCAACAGAGCCCAAGAAGAGAACAGGAGAACTTCGGATAGATCCACCTGGGGCAAAGGTCAAGCCGAATCCAGTTCAAGGAACAAAGAGGTCAGCAGAGACTGCCGTAGAAGACCTTGATCCCAGAGTGGAGGAGAGTCCAAGGAAAGCGTCTCAGTTTTCACATGTGCCAGAAACACCACCAGCAGGGTGGAAGCCAGATGCAGCCAGCTTGGTAAAAGAGAAGGAGATCGCAAAGCAGCATCTGAAGAAGGTCATTCAAGGAACCTATGAGGCGAATGGCATCGAGATCACTGAGCAAGAGATCGGAGACATTGCTCATTTGAGCATGCAGATGTCAGCAGTAGATATCATGGAGATCTACTCGCCCAAAAGGTTCACTGCGCTTGCAGAGCGCTACAAGTTGCGACCGGGTTTTGCGGTCGACTTGAATGAAATGAAAAACGATGGAACATACTGGGACTTGAACAAGCCTGAAGATGTTCAAAAAGTGCACGACATCCTTGAGAAGGACGAACCGGCGCTTTTGACTGGTTCGCCACCGTGCCATATGTTCTCACAGCTCCAGAACCTCAACTGGAGAAGCATGGCACCGGATGTCCGGAGGAGGAAAATGGACGAAGCCGTCCACCATCTCCATACGAGCGTAGAGCTGTATGTCAAGCAGCATCGCTCAGGGAGAAAATTCCTCCACGAGGCACCTTGGTCCGCAACTAGTTGGAAAGATGAGAAAGTTGCGGCCTTAGCGAAGGAAGATGGAGTGTTCATAGTGAAGGGTCCAATGTGTAGGTGGCAGATGATGGCCACCGACCGAAGAGGACTCCAAGGCACTGGCTATGTGAGAAAGGAGACCGGTTGGATGACCAACGATGAAGGATTGGCCAGAGTCTTGCAAGGAGTCTGTTCGAATGAATCGGGCAAAGGACCATGGCACCGACACATCCATCTGATCGGAGGCATTGCTAGGCAAGCAGCGGTATACCCGCCGCAGCTCGTGAAAGCAGTGCTGAGGAGCCTGCGTGACACACTAGCTGAGAAAGGTGAGTTGAACACCTTTGATTTGTTTGCAGCAGGCCCAGTTCCAGAGATGCCTCTGATGGAACCTGAGTTCGAAGAAGTTTACATGGATGATGTGAACGGCGGCATTTTGCCAGCCGAGAAAGTGAAAGAGGCAAGACGCCTTGAAATGTTTGAAAGAAAAGCATTTTGTTTATGTGCCCCGGCCGAGAGCCGAATGTTTTGAGGAAACGGGGAAGCCCCCGATTCCAGTTAGATGGTTGGACACCAACAAGGGAGATCCAACAAACCCGAACTATAGGAGCCGATTAGTTTTGCGTGAGATAAAGGCACGAAAGACTAAAGAAGAACAATTGCCAGCCAACTTGCTTTTCAGCAGCACGCCCCCATTGGAGGCGATGAGACTGCTGTGCTCGTTGTGGGCAACAAAGAGAAAGTCCTGCCACAACCAGCCGCTGAAGCTGGGTTTGTGGGACATCTCACAAGCACACTTTTATGGAACTCCAAAGAGAAAGATCTACATAGAGCTGCCGCCTGAGGACGAAGCCAGCAAAGATGGGCAAACCTGTGGACTTCTCGTGAAGTCGATGTATGGAACACAGGACGCTCCAAACATCTGGCAGACGCACTACACAGAGACTCTGCAGAAAGCTGGTTTCCGCAGAGGCTTGTCAAATGCGTCAGTCTTCTACCAAGAAGCTTGGGACGTCAGAGTGATGGTGCATGGAGATGATTTCCTAGCGCTTGGAGACGCCCAACACTTGGAGAAGCTCAGCCAAGTCCTCAAAGATGCCTATGAGCTGAAATGTCTCGGAATTCTTGGAGACGAGGATGGAGACCGAACAGAAGCTCATTTTCTGAATCGGTTAATCCGAGTTGAAAAAAGAACGGCAAAGGATCAATTGTGATCGAAGCCGATCGGAGACATGTTGATCTTTTGATCCAGGCATTTGGTCTGGAGAAGGCAAATGGTGTAGAATCACCAGATGTCAAGAAGTCGGCAGATCAGCAGATGCTGGAAAGCCGCAGTCCGCTGCTTGATAAGAGCGAGGCATCGAAGTATCGTTCAGCAACGATGCGTGCTGCGTACTTGTCCCAAGATCGACTCGATATTGGGCACGCAGTCAAGAACCTTGCTTGAGGTATGGTATCACCGACAGAAGCCAAGCTTGCTGACTTGAAGCGTCTCATCAGGTACTTGAAGAAATACCCTGATGTTGGGCAATGTTTTGGCTCGCAGCAGACACCCTCCAGGTTGAGGGTGCAGGTTGATGCCGACCATGGTGGTGACGCTGTAACACGCAAAAGCACGACTGGCATGTTTGCTATGTACGGCATGCACGTGTTGAAACACAGTAGTAACATCCAATCCACTGTAGCCCTTTCTACAGGTGAGAGTGAATACTACGCACTTGTGAAGGGAGGATCTGTGGGCTTAGGCCTCCAAAGCCTATGCGCAGACCTTGGTTTGGAATTAGGAGTCACCATCGAGGGCGATTCCAATGCAGCCAAAGGAACTGTGAATAGAGTGGGTTTGGGTAAAGCCAGACACATCCAGACTCGCTACCTATGGTTGCAAGAAAGGGTCGCCGAGGGCCACTTGAAAGTGCACCACGTTCCAGGCGTCAAGAACAAAGCCGATGTGTTGACCAAATCGGTCCCTGGGGTGCAGCTTCGCAAAACCATGGAGGACCTGCAGTATGCATTCCTCAGCAAGCGAAGCAAAGGACAGTTAGATGTTTTGGAGTAAGGTCCCTGGCCAAGCTCCACTACCACAATTGAAAGTGGCTCAGCAGCGAGAGTTTCACATGTTTCCTTTTATGCTTGCGCAGCAGTACAGTGCTTTGCAAGAGGAGGAGTGTTTGTATGTACAGCCCATATATACTCCGCTATAGGTACTGCAGACACGTGACTCTTGACGTGTTTTGGCTCAAGGTGAAAAAGGCGTTCCGTAACGTCGACACTTTGTTTTCAATCTCTCTCTCTCTCTCTCTCTCTCTTCTCGGCGTGTGGAAAGAGTCATTCATTCGCACCCACACTCAATCACTACGGGTTGTCCAGGTCAGCAGAGCTCAAATCTCGGAGTCAGGAGGGAAGATCCGTGCAACATGGTGCAACCATTGGAACTGCTGAAGAACGGACGTTTTTTCAGAGACCTCTCTGAATTTTCCGTGGTAGCTAAGGACCCTAAGGACCTAAGGACCCCTACCATACCCTATCATTGATGTTCATTGTAGTCACTCTTCATGGTTCAGACACACACGCGCCGATGCCATAGCTTTGGATGAGCCACTGAGGTTTGGAAAGAAGGAGTTCAAGGTCAAGGCGGGCGGTGCAGAAGGAGGGACTCCCTCCGCACGTCCAGGGTTTCTGCACGTCACGAGGTTGGGGGTCCAGATTGGTTACTGTAAGTTGCTTGAGGGATCAGCTGAACTGATCCACATGGAGCGGTAGTCGATCGTTTTTCTTCTTTATTTTTTTTCGGAGACCTCCGTAGACCGTAAGGTTCCCTCCTCCGGCATCGATGGCAGTTGTAGGCCAAGTGGCCCAGCGAAATGTTCTTTTCGTGGTCCGGAAAAGTGGCATTTGCAAGACCTGAAGAGCATGGCGCATCTTAGGACTCTGGTTCAAGTGCCAAGCTAGCAGCTAGAGGGAGAGGTCGAGTGACACCTTGGAAGGAGTTCAGAAGGGCCGCCGTGCGGTTCCGCACTACTACTTCTTCTTCTTCTTCTTCTTCTTCTTTATTCTTCTTCTTCTTCTTCTTTTTTTTCTTCTTCTTCTTCTCCTCCTCCTCAAATGCTTGATGCCATAGCCTTCTTTTGGGGTAACAAGATCATATCTGAATCTCCGTCAGGCCCCCCAGATCACCGTCTGGCACAGGCGAGCTTCAATTGGAGTTCGGCCGAGACCAGTGGCACCAGCGACATGCGCTGGGAACAGACCAAGAAGCTGGAGCCGGGGGAGGGCGGGTGCGGGGTGGCGTGGGCGATGGAGCCTTTTAAAGGATCTCTGCAACAGCAATATATTAGACTCAGACATATAATATTATAGTAGTTAGCTCTATATTCTTTTTCCCCAAGTGATTCAAACGATTTCAGTGGAGGGTTCTTAAAGACAGAAAGGGAGCAAAGATCTTCAAATCCCAGCTTAGAACTGTTATACACACATATATATATATGTCGATATTCAGTATCCCAGTGTCCAGGTTTGGAGGCTGAAACCAGCATGGACGGGTGGGACCCAGTAAGCATGAAGAACGTCCTGGACTGAAAAACTACAACTTCGCATTGATTCCAACAGCTTTCTTTCTTCTCCAGCCATCTTCGCAAGAAAAGAGTCGATCGATTTCTTTTGGTGTCGCTCCGCTTTCTCGGGTCCTTCCCGGTTGGCCCGTTTGGGCCCGGTGGCGCCTCTGGTTAAGTGAAAAGGTGAAGAACTGGCCCCCACGCGGCCCGCGCCCGCGCTTGTCTGTGAGAGGAGGTGCCTCAAGGCGCGGCGGAGGGCGTGATCAGCTTGTGGTCCTTGGGGACCATCAAGGACGCAGCGGGGGGCGGCAGCGGGGTGGGGGGGGGAAGGAAGGTGGTGTTGCGAGGAGGACAGAGATGGAGGTACCAAGGTGCCGGTCGGAGCCTGGCCCTTTTGGAGTGTGATGGGACTTGGACTGTTCTGGAGGACTTCTGAGGTGAAAGGGTGATTGAGTACAGTGGCTTTGTTGGTGGATTTGGTCTGGTGTGTGACACTGTGGCGGTTTGCAGGTGACAGAGACCTTGTGTTGAGTTGAAGCACTCTGTAGAGGAAAATGGTCCATCCACGTCACCAGGTTTGTTTCAGCGAGTGTAACTCATTCAACCGAGGTTTGTAGTTGTAGGATTTCACCATTTTCCGGGCTGCCTGGATTTCCAGCGTTGGGCGGCTGTTGGGCGTCTGTTGGGCGTCAGGACTCCAAGGTGGCGTCCTACTCACTCGACACCAAGAAGGAGCCGGGCTGCCGGCTGGGGTTCGCGGGAGGTTTCCCAGTGGGTCCCTGGTGGGTGCGGGGTGGAGCTGGCCCCAGCACCGATCGCCTGAACTTGCCTTTGAGACCGATCGCCTGTTGGGTTGGGTGTTCCTGGAGAGAAGCGAGCGGCGAGAAACCAAGCCTTCTTTCTTGACTGCAGGACCTTCCAAGGTGTGTCCAGTTGAAACCCAGTCGGGTGGGGATAGTCACACAGAGACCTGGTCACGTGTCCTGCGCTTGCTTCTCGTTGGTTGTTTTCTTGCATCCATTTGCATCCCCTTGTCTGGGCCGTTGATTTTGACGCTGGATCAAGACCTCTGGCTTCCCAAGCTCTAGAACTCTAGGATGCAGGTTACAGCTGTGTCTGGTGACACAGTTGCAGAGTTCGATGAGCATGAGTTGTGCTGCATGGTGGAAAGTGGAAAAACGGTTCGGGACCTAAAGCGACTTCTTTCAGCTAAGGTTGGGTGCTCAAGGTTTCAGCAAAGACTCGTGAGCGACGAATTTGGCAAATTGCAAGATGAGATGCCTTTGAGACTGCTGCCACATCTGCAGCTGGTAGTCCTGCCCTTTTGTGCTTGTGATGAGATTATGGAGGAAGAACTGCTTCAGAACTGCCGGGAGAATCATGTGAGTCTGGTTGAAAGACTGCTTGAAAAGCCGCAGGACCCAAGCGGGAGGGCATTGTTTACTGCAGCTGGGTATGGCCACTTGGAGATTGTGCAATTGTTGCTTGAGGCTGGAGCTGACAAAGATGCAGCAGTGATAGATGGGGCAACAGCCTTGCATGCTGCCGCCCAGACCAGCCATTTGGAAGTTGTGCAGTTGCTGCTTGAGGCTGGAGCTGACAAAGATGCAGCGACGACAGATGGGGCAACGGCTTTGTTTATTGCAGCTGAAAGCAGTAGCTTGGAAGTTGTGCAGTTGTTACTTGAGGCTGGAGCTGACAAAGATGCAGCAACGACAGATGGTTCAACTGCTTTGTTTATCGCAGCCCAAAACGGCGACTTGGAAGTTGTGCAATCTTTACTCGAGGCTGGAGCTGCCAAAGATGCAGCAAGGAATGGGGCAACCGCTTTGTTTATGGCAGCCCAGAAAGGCCATTTGGTAGTCGTGAAGTTGTTGCTCGAGGCTGGAGCTGACAAAGATGCTGCAGTGACAGATGGTGCAACTGCTTTATTTATTGCAGCCCAGAACGGCGACTTGGGAGTAGTGCAATCGTTACTCGAGGCTGGAGCTGACAAAGATGCAGCAAGGAAAGATGGGGCCACGGCTTTGTTTATTGCAGCCCAGAAAGGCCACTTGGAAGTTGTGCAATCGTTGCTCAAAGCTGGAGCCAACAAAGATGCAGCCAGGACCAATGGGGCAACGGCTTTGATAATGGCGGCCAGGAATGACCATTTGGAGGTTGTACGATTGTTGCTCGAGGCTGGAGCTGACAAAGATGCAGAAATGACAGATGGTGTCACGGCTTTGTATGTTGCCACCCAGAACGGCCACTGGGAAGTCGTGCAGTTGTTGGCTAAACCTGGAGACGACAGGAATGCCGCAATGAGAGATGGGCTGTGTGTTTGAGCCTTTGTAGCGGGAACATGACTGCAGTCACTGTAGTTAGTTGGTGGCCTGTCTTTTGTTTATGTACCAAGCAGAAGACCAGGTCAGCAAGGTCGATTGTAAAAGGGCCATCAAGGGCGTTATACAGTATGGACCTGTACGTTCTCTGTACGAAGCGATGCACCTCAAGGCCTCCAACGATCTCCGGACCTCCGAACCCAGTTTCTTCATCTGCTTCTGCTTCTTCGCGGGGGGGGGGGCGATTGTCGTCACGCGATCGGTCACGTTGTCGTTTTTGGGAGGACATGCTGGACAAGGCCGAGTCCTTCTTCGGGCGAAAGCAAAAGTTCAAGCTCCAGCACAAGGGCAAGACGGCTCCGGGGCCCCAGATCCTCCGATTCGGGGCGGCTCTCCGGGGGGAAAAAGAGCGGCTTGGGGAATCCAAAGGCCTTGCATAAGCCATGGCCTTTCAGCGCACGTGAGGGACCGGGGGCAACCTGCAACGCCACATCGGGGGCCACCGCTCGGCCCAGTCGTCGATGGGGACCATCGGCGAATGCTCGGGGGCATCGGGGCATCGGCGAGCCGCAGCCCAAATGGTTGAGACTCAGAGAGCGTGGGTTGTATTTGGTTGTCTGGTTGTAAGTTGTCACTGGTTGTATTTATATACTGTAAATCATATATTATATGTATATAGAGGGAGTCGGAGGTTCCAATCCTCCCTGCCACTCAAGCTTCTCCAGCTCAAGCTTCTTCCTTCACCTTGCATTGTGTCTTGAGCCCAGTTCTCCTTGGATCCGTCGGTTGGCCCACCACCTTGGATTCGCCGGATGTCAAACCCAGCCGTTTGATGACTTCGTTGCGGAATTGGCACCCGGGAGGGCCGGAGATCGGCACATCCCTGGAACAGGGCCCCATCCCCCCAAAAAACATGCCGAGTTTTCACCCCAAGGAAGAGGACAGGGGTCCAACTCCCATATCCATCCTAGAGCTTCAGTATATCTCTCTGGCCAAGTTTTGTGGCCATGCCTCCGAGGTGGGCACGTTGCTGATCACTTTCAGGAGCCGTTGGAAAGGGGGGCGGGTGGAGCTGGGGTTTTGAGCCGACTGGAGTCAGCAAAAAACGGGAGGTCATATCCAAGAAGCAGACGGGATATGACTGGAACCCCTTACGTCGCCCCAACTCTGGAGAATAAGCTCATGGAAGAGAGCGGTTTCTGAGAGAGCGGTTTCCGGGGTTTTGGCATCAGACTCACCCCTAACATGTGCGTTGTGTGGTGGGCCAAGGTCACCCAGGTTGGTCATTTTTGGATGCTGCTCAACTGCTCAACTCAAAGAGCTTCTGTAACCAGCCGTGGCCTTTATGAATGGCCATGCCAGTGTTGAAGGGCGGATCAAAGGATTGAGCCTTGGGTTTGTGTCTCCTCCAACCAATGGTTATTTGGTCCATTTTGAGTTTCCAACTCGACTTCTCCCATTTTCGTTCACTCACCTGAAGCCTGAAGCTGAACTCGGCCGGTGCCTGGCTCGCCGCATGCGCCCTGCGGTCAGGAAGCGTGGCAAGGGAGAGAACGACCTTGGTGATTGTCCCATTGATGGCACCCCCCGAGGGTTGGGGGTGTTGGGCCTGGACCAGGTGGAGTTGGGGGCCCTTGGCCTTGAACAGATACGTAGAAGAAGCGATTTCCACACATTTGTCACAGGAATCACTTAAAGGAAGACTTCATGGAAACGAACAATTCAAAGGGTCAGACCGTCGATGTTTAATTTGGTGATTGGCCAGCTGCCCTACCACGATAGCGTTTCAGGCCAAATACTACAAGAAGACGGCGATTTGTAGCAGCTTATTGTGTCAAGCGTAGGCACAGAGACACTGCACATCTCTTCTTCCCCAGATAGCGAGAGCTATTGGGGTTCTTACTTCAAGTACAGGAAGAGGTGCCTGTTGGCGCTTTTGATCTTGGGTGCTGGTGCCGCTGCAGGGTGCCGCTGCCAGATGTGGCTGTGTGCGCTTTGGAGCTTGGGTGCTGGTGCCGCTGCCAGATGTGGCCCTGTGCGCTTTGGAGCTTGCGTGCTGGTGCCGCTGCATGGTGCCGCTGCCAGATGTGGCCGTGTGCGCTTTGGAGCTTGGGTGCTGGTGCCGCTGCAGGGTGCCGCTGCCAGATGTGGCCGTGTGCGCTTTGGAGCTTGGGTGCTGGTGCCACTGTTGGAGCTTGGGTGCTGGTGCCACTGCAGGGTACATCCCCAGGGTGCTGCTGCGACGTGTCTTTGGCCGTGTGCGCATTGGAGCCCGCGTGCTGGGCGCTGCTGCACTGTGCTGCCCACAAAGGTCTTTTGCTATCTGGGGTGTGTGCTGGCGTAGCTTTTGCTTTCTAACGTGAAAAGCTGGCGATGGGCAATGTCAGGTTCCTGAAGATATCCATCGTCAATGGCCGGCTGGGGCTGCCAGCTGCGACTCTCGCATTGGTACACGTCCGACCGTATGAGGTATATTTGGATGTTTCGGAGAGGTCACCGGATGAGGTTCTTCAGCCTCAAAGCTGGCGCACTGGTACCACTCCCCAAAAAAGGGTTTAGGATGCCACGTTCTTTTTCTTTTTCTTTCGCTTGTCATCCACCGCTGCGTTCGCGAACGCAGGTATTGATGAGGACTCCCCCCTGCTCATCGATGTGGCGAACGCCATACAGGACACGTGACCGGGGTGGTGAACAGTCACTGCGCGGTTTTTCCGGAGACCTGGTGGTCGGCCAATGCGTGGCCCGGAAGTGAAGGACACAAGTGTTCCGAACACAAAGGACAAACCAAAAAGACCGGGCGAAAAAGAACTGCCAGATTTGGAGGTCAAACTAGACAGTGAGGTGTATTTTTTGCCAACCCAGCTTCGCGGCCGCAACCTTCTTTGGTTCCAGGCCTCGAAGAGGGTTTTTTTCGGTCCAAAGACATCGTCCCAATTTCGAGGTCTTTCGACGTTTGATTTGGCAAGCATGGCACCCGGTACTTGAGGTTTTACTTCACCGTTTCAACATGTTTCAACCAAGCATTTTCTTAAGAATTCACCGGTGAGCCAGGAGATGGTGAGGAAGAAAGAACTGCAGCCCCTGCAGAAGGGAGAGAAGCTACTTGCCGTGCATCTTTAGAATAGAAATGGGTGTGTCCAAAAACAGACTTCCTTTGTAGTTAATAGCAACTAGTATGCTGGATACTCAGGAATGATGGCATTGACATTGTCCTCTATGGTATAATGTTTTCCAACGTGGAGCTAAACATTATGTTTCTGGGATAAATCATAAATCTGTTGTTTGCTTTGGTGCTGGTGTTTGTTTGTTTGTTTGTTCGTTCGTTCGTTCGTTCGTTTGTTTTTTCATCGTTTGTGCACTATTTACTATTCCTCCTCCAATGCAACACTTCCTGCTACAGGGAAGGGAGGGTTCCTAGTTCAGATGCCGACCTTTCATGATAGCGTAGTTTTCTCATGCAGAGGCTTGACGGGGAGAAGAAGATCGCAGTCCTTGCCAAGACCTTGCAGGATGGTTTTGAGAGATGGCCATGGGTCATGGCACCTCACCCTACAAACCATGGACAGTTGACATCCCTTTGACCCACAAATGCAGCTTGCGTGTCTCAAGAGTGAGGTGTTTGTGGACTCGTGGACCAAAACACAAATTTTCTGCACACGTTTGGCGGGTTTAAACGAGGACAGGGTGGCTGTGTATTTGATTACACAGATGTCACAGATGGTACACTGAGGCTGGACTCAGGTCAGGACAAACCCGCTGATTTCACTGATTTGATGGACAAACCCAGTGGGCTTTCCCAGATGTTTGGAAGAAGCGTCATTCCTTTGTCCGAGATGATCCAGTATGTTGTGGAGCGGCCCTCCTGATTTTTGTGTGGTGCTGCGTTTTATTGCAAGCACTGATCATCCAAGCCTTCAAGTCAAGTCACTTGAGCAAGTAACACCATTGGTTGGGCCCGGGTACTTCTGGCTGAAGCATTGGTTGCAGGAGTGCACCCCCCAAAACTCCCAAAGCAACGGCAAGCAATGCATCGCAGCGCTAAGTCACATGTGTTTGCCCTTGAAGTCGGATATGTTCCTTCAGGCTCCTCAAGGATCCAGGTAGGTAGAATGTGGGGTAAGCCAACGCCAGAACAAGGTTCCTAAGGTTCGTTTTCCAAAATTCCAAATCTACCCAGTTACTCCAGCTCCTTCTCTGCTCAAGTGACTAGTCCTACGGCAGGGCGATCTGCGGGAGATTGATGCAGAGGGGAAAGAGAAGGGGAAGGCGCGCGAACGCCAGGAAGCAGTGTGCCTGTTTCTTCCGCTCAAGATGCCGCCTTCAGAATGCGACCAAAAACCCATTGATTTTGCTCTCACATTTTATAGACTTATAAAGTTTATATAACGACAAACTTGACTATTTTCCACAGTTGCTGCCTGTTCAATTGTTCCTTTGGCTCCCTGGATCCTCGGCTCGTCACGAGGTCTACGTGCGCGTGGTGAACTGCAACTTTGCGGAGCTCAAGGGCGAGGACATGAAGGAGGCGGGGAGGCTGCCGGACGTGCTGCGCGTGGCTGTCGGTGTTGGGGTCCATTTGGACTGGAGGAAGATGAGAAGATCTCTCTCTGTCTCTCTCTCTCTCTGTCTTTGTCTCTAGCAGAGACCGTGCAGAGACCGTGTCGATCGGAGCTTTCGAGACTGTGCAGACGGTGCAGGGGTCGCCGTGTAAAAAAAGAATCCTGTACGGAGCCATGTCCGGTCGATGTGGTTTGCCTGCAGATGCATCGTGTGTGTGTGTGTGTGTGGGTTGCTGCAGAGGTGAAAGAGTGGTGAAACCAGCCAGGAGTGGGCGAAGCAATGTGAAAAGGCACGGAAGAAAGGCCAGGGTGCCAGGGCAGAGTGAGGGCTGAGTGAGGGTGGGGAGATGATACAGACTTCAGAGGCTTGTGCATGTGTTGCAGGTTTACTGTGTAGGAAGCTACACTGATCACACTATCCTTGTTGATCTGAAGAGCATCCTTTGCTCTCATACGGGATTCGAGCATGTGGGAGCCTTTTCGATTCAGATCTTTGTGCATTCTTTTAGGACCTGCACTGGAGCACCGGGCCGGTCTCACCGAGGTCTGAAACAACCGCAGCGCAAGTGGTACTTCTGCTGGTATGGCAGCAAGAACGTCGGAAGCTTATGGACCATGTGACCCTCCCAACAAGGATGGCACCCCTCTTCTGTTCCGGGGCCATGCCATCCACGCAGACGTAACCACACTCGTGGCAGAACTCTCAAGCTGACTAGTCCAAATACGTGGGGACACCTGGCCGACCCGCCTTCTGCGACGCCACAACAACGGGTCTCCGGGACCTCACCTTGGCCGGGTCCCTTCGCCTCTCTGCGTCTCCGCGAGGAAGCGCTGGACGCGGAGAAGTGGCACTTCCCCGATGGCTTCTTTCCCCTGGCCACCATGACGGCGGTGCACCGCTCCCCCGAGCGCCAGGAGAGCGAGCGGGTCCCTTCGCCTCGGGTGGGTGGGTTCCCCGCTCCAGATTCCGCGGTTCGGCCCGTTCGGAGCCTGGGGTGGCTTGAGCATGCAATCGGAGGGGCGATGGGTTTTGCACGGGTTGTAATGGTTTTGGCCGTGGGAGAGATGGAATTCGGTGGACATCACCACAACAGCTTAAGTCCAGCACAGCTTTCCATGCAAACAACAACCCCGGAGATGTGGTCTTTTCGGCAAAGCTGGCAGAGCCAGGCAGAGCTGTCCCGAGAGTCTAGCTCAGGCATGTGCAGAGCTCCCTCTAGTTAGGTACCAAAGCAACAAGCGCGCATGGAAGTTGAGCGCCCTTGGGGAGCTAGCAGGAAGATAGGTTTCTCACTCCAGACTGATGAGGGATCAATTTTTTCAAAGTCACAACAATGCAAGTCAAGACACCATTTTCTGAGAAGACATTATTTTTTTCTGAGAAGACTGTCTTGCTGCTGTTTGGTGGTTCTTGGTGCCGCGGAGCGCGACCCTGCGAGGACCAATTTCTGGTGAAGCTCCTTGGCTGCCTCGTGCTTTGGTGCATCGTTTCCCTTAACATGTCAAGAAGCGCCATGGAAAAGACAATCCAAGACTACTCAGACTCCAGGTGTTCCTCCAGAATGCTGTTTTCGATGCTGCACTCGTCAGGGGAGTCTTATAAGGGCTTTTCAACTGATGTCAAAGCCTTCACCGGTCGCCGGAGGTACTCTGCGGGGTCGAAGGAGACGTTGATCTACCGCCGAGAGCAAGGGAAAGCCCTGGATGCCTGGGTTGAAGGCTTGGACATGGCCAATCAAGAGCATCTGGGCGAAGACCGAGAACAAATAGCGTGTCTTTTTGATTCTTCCCGGTCACCCGCTAGGTAGGCTTGGTGAATGCCAGATGCAGATGTAGGCAGATGTCAGAGTTTGTAAAGGAAGACAGATTCTTCATGATTTTTCCGTTTTGGAGAATCACACAAAAGACATGTGATTTTTTCACCACCACCACCACCACCACCACCACCACCACCACCACCACCACATCGGATGGGAGCTGCGCATGCTGCTTTGAGCGCTGAGGATCCGAGAGAACATGAAGGAGGAGAAGGAGGCTGAAGAGATGGAAGAGAAGGAAAAGGCCAAAGCGCGGATGATGCATGGCCAGTGGATGCAGAGGATGCTAGGGCTGAGAGGGATGGGCTTGACAAGACCTGGGGGAGGGGGTGGGTGGTCTCGACTTCAGCGACTTCAGGTGACCGACAGAGCGTGGGAGCCGATGGGCGACAAACGCCGCTGGTGACTCAGAGACCCGAACACTTCTGTGTGCATTCTGAGGAATGGCATGCCCCAAAACGAAGAACAGTGGACTGCATGGTTTCAATGGATGAAGAGCGGGAATCTGGAAGATGAGAGCATTCGCAACTTCTACCAGGCTCGTGGCCTTCGGCTGGGCGTTCGAACAGATCAGCAGGGTGTCACCCATCATTGAGTGTGGCAGCAGATTGCACCAACCAAAGCCGCTTCCTTTTCTTCTAAATTAGGCAACTCCATAGGTTCCTTGCTTCTGTCCAAACTTGAGAAAGCAGATGAAAGCAGTAAAGAGAAAAGCAGTTCATTTCCGCAGGCAGATCATCGCTTAAGGCTTATGGTGCTCGGAACCATGGCCCAAACTGAAAGTCTAGGTCCACAAGACAGAGTGCTTAACGTAAACAATGTTGCGTTTTGAGGGTTGATGAAATCTTCATCCGGTGTTTCACAACTGCCTGGATGAACTTGCAAGTTGACAGCCATGTTACCAAGAGTGGAGAAAGTAGCTAGATGTTGTGCCTGGCCAACCCCCCAGAACAATAAGAGATAAGAGTACGGTATGCTGAGCAAAGCAGAACCCCCCGTTCCATTTTGGTCCATTTGAAGAGGTTGTAGTTTGTTGGACTTGTGTTTTCCCTAAATGCTTATTCATCCAGTGCTCCTGTGTTGACCTCCATTTATATACTGCTTTCTCCTCCACTCGCCCGAACCACGCGGCCTCGGGGGGCCGGACCTCTCCCTTCTTTGGCTCTCTGAGCTTCGTCTGGAGGGTTCTGGGAGCTCCGTTCGTAGCGCCCTTGCTCCTAGTAAGGCCAGGAGCCTCGATCGTAGAGTCCTTGCTCCTAGTAGCGATGCCCTTTGCTCCTAGTAGCTTCTGGGTGGTACGGTTTCCGTCCCAAAGTCGCTGGAGGAGTTGATGACGCAGCCAGCGCAGCCTCGCCGCGGGTGAGCGCGAAAAGCGGAATGAGGGGGAATGTGGGGGGAAGGCGGGAGGAAATGTGAGGGAATTTGGAAATGAGGGTGAAGGTGGAAGAGGGCAAACGCATGTTTGCGCACAGTGCTCGCAACTCGAGAGCACAAGGAAGGAAGCTTAGGAGAGCCAGCCACCACAACGAGATGCCGGGCCTGAGGTTTTGGCGAGTAGAATCTAAAAGAAACATTTCTTCAGGTATCCTTTATCCTTTACCCTAAATGAGCATAATTACGGACTGCTTCGATGGTAGAATCATCGAGTTGTGTGGATATGTGGCTCCTTGCCTCCTTCCCTCCCCCTCCTCCTCCTCCTCCTCGTCCTCCTCCTCCTCCCCCTCCCTCCCTCCCTCCCTCGCTCCCTCTCTCTCTCTCTCTTCTTTTTTCTCTCTCCCTCTCTCTCTCTCCCCTCCTTTTTCGTTCATGTTTGTTGGTTGCGAAGATAGATGACTGATCTAGCGTTCTCATCACGATGATTGAGCAAATTTGTGCAGTGCTTGCGGCTCCAGCAAAGAAAGACACACCGAAGAGCCGCCTTGACCGCAAAGAGATGGCAGGCCCGAGACGGAAACGCCGCTGCTTTCAAGGGGATAAAGTCGAGTTCCGCAACTGCGCAGGATTCCGCAACTGGGATTCCACAACTTTTGTGAATGATGAGGGCACACGATGGGGACAAGGGCGGGTTGGGGTGGGGGGGTCGGGTGGGGACCAGTTGCAGAATACCAGTTTCAGAATGTCAGTTGCAGAGTCTGACTTTCCAGTTTCAGAATCCCAGTTTCAGAATACCAGTTGCAGAATCTGACTTTCCAGTCTCAGAATACAAGTTTCAGAATCCCAGTTTCGGAATACCAGTTTCAGAACCCAAGTTTCAGAACCCTAGTTTCAGAATCCGACCGATTAGTTTCCGAATCCGGCCCTAACCGCTTTCAAGGTCCAGAACCCTCCAACTGCTCAACCGCCGCCGTCTTGGGGATCTCTTCGTTGGGACCAAAGCCCGTGGACGGTCTCGGACCGCGTCCGCGAACCCTCCGGAGTGGACCGACCTTCTCGCTCGCAGGCGAGCAAACACCTTTAATGGATGAGCGAGGTGGGAAGTTCGAACGAGCATGGGCGAGTGAAGTGTAGGAAACTAGCAGAAGGGCATGTTCTGCTGGAACTAGGACACACCGAATGGAACTCGGAGTTGTTTGCCTGTCACTGAGCATGTTCTTCATGATATTTCATGATGGAGTGAGGGAGGGAGGGAGAGAGTCCTTTCGAGAGGGGAGAGAGAGAGGGACAGAGAGAATCTGCTTTCACCACATGTCAGTGTACATACTTACCAGGACCTTCCAAGGGGTGTCTATCTATAGCCCCTTAGCTGTTAAGGGGCGTCCATTAACCACCCTTGAAGGCCCTGGTACATGCACCCTTCTGTTTGCTTTTTCTTTGGCTCCTGTTGACTTTTTTTCGTGCGCCTGGCCAGCTGCGAACCCCGATGAGTCTGGCTCGGGCTTTGGGCTGTTGGCAGGCTGGGCGACTGCGAGGCAGAGGAGTTTCGTTTTCGAACACAAACAACCAGAAAGAAATTATAAGAAATTGATGTTTCCCCAAACAGCCATTTCCTATGTAAAGGATCATATTTGCCATATTGGAACAACCATTTCTTTCTGGTTGTTTGGGGTTCCAGGTGGTTCTTATGGGTAAGCAGAATGAGACTTACGAGAGGATCAACAAGGTTTGCCTTCCTTTTAGGAGGTCATGGCAGATATGGGGAGAAGAGGGACTGGAGTTTTTCACGTGAGGCCGTTGGACTGGGGATCTTAGATGATCTTAGCGTTCTGTTTTGGGACGAAATCCGATGACATCCCGTGGTGCCAAGGGGTTTTCCCCCTGCGTAGTGGGGTCCAGGCTAGTCAATTGGGCCGAAGACTTCAAAGAAGTCCGTTACGCCGCACTGGGGAGATAGCGCCCATGTGCCGGGTTGATCCTTCTTAGTCAGAACGCTGAATCTTTCTTTGTGTGCTTTTTTGGAGGATGCAAATCGCCAAACAGAAGTGTCAATCAATCATGGCGCTGAATTACCACTTGATTGGATTTCTATTCCGCATCCCACCAAAAGGTCAGGCATATACCAAAATTCAGAGCCCCTTGGCCTCTTGGTATGTTTCGTTGCGGTCACCGATGGGCGCGACGGGTGAGCCTCTTGAACCGGCGCGCGACTGCAGTCATCCTCATCGTCCCTCGACTGGTTGGCGCTGGCATTGGCTTCGGCATCTACAAGCTTCTTGACGTTCAATTCCCTTGGGTCAACCGTTTGGTTTGGTCTGCAGCCCCCAAAACGCCCCTATAGGCCATGCAGCCCGTCTATGGCAGGTCACACCGTCGCGGCAAACCCCTACGGTGCGAAGCGTAGAGAGGCTGTAGCCTTCGGCATGGGCTGTCTACAATCTTTGTATGCATAGATGCAAGTTTGCATTTTGAGAGGAAGACTATGTATCAATAGTTGATTAAGCTGAATTCAAAGCAGTAATTTGGCTTTTACGAATATACACATTTCAAGGAAACAGTCAAACAAATACAAGTTTGTTTCTCTAAAGAAGAATGGACAGCTCTTCGCGCCGGCTGTATTCGCCATGGCCTCTCCACGGTCGGGTGGCGCCATGGCCTCTCCCTCTGGCCATGTTTCGATTGCCAGTATGTCTGGCCAAGAAGTGGCTCACTGGACCTGGGAGGAGGTGAAGGAGAGATCGGTTGGTTCGCTCAAGACCGTTTTGGCCAAGAAGATTGGCATCAACCGCTTCCGGCAAGTGTGGCTTGATGGAGATGGCGATTGCAAGTTGACGGATGAGGCCCAACCTACAGCAAACATGCAGCTGGTGGTGCTGCAGTGCGAGGAGTGCAGTTTGTCAGTGTTGGAGAAGGTGTTCTGCGCCTGCAACGAAGATCGCAGGGCGGACCTAGAAGAGCTCCTGTGCATTCCTGTAGTCCCTGATGCCATGGCAGAGGAGCACTGGGAGAATTGTCCTGGGCAGTGGTTGGGCAAGCGTGCGCTGCATGTTGCTGCAGGTGCTGGCAGTCGGGAATGCACGAAGTTGCTGCTTGAGGCAGATTGTGATGTTGGGTTGAAAGATAGAAATGGCCGGACAGCGTTACATCATGCCGCGGACGTTGTTGTTGTGAATCTGTTGCTCAAAATGAGCGCAGATCTAAATTTGCAAGACTTGCAAGGAGAGACACCTCTGATTCGAGCAGCCAGATGTGGCCGCCCGAAAGTTGTGCGGCATTTGCTGGGGCTCGGTGCCGATCGAAACGTCCGGAACACGTGTGGTGAGACCGCCTTGCAACTTGCACGAAGTCTCATCGCCATGGACACCGTGTCCAAGCCTGAACGCCCCTGGAGCCGCTGTGTGCAACTCCTGGAAGCAGCGCAGCGGAAAAGAGTTTAGCGCCCGCAAAGGGTCAGGGAAGTTGTAGGGAAAAGTCTCGATCCGACTGCTTGAGCATGTGTCTTTTGTTGTCTTTTTCTCATTTGGTTGCCTGTAGTGAGCGCTGGCAGCACTTGCGAGCTCTTGGATGTGACCGTGACCTTGAGCAGCTTGGGTCATATTTGGGGTACACGAAGGACGTTGGACTCCAATGAGTGGACTCATCACATGTCGAAATAGGGGTAATCCTTCGAAGGGGTTGCAAGCTAGGCTCTATTGGGCCATGCCTTGAAATGAATGGAAGCGTTTGGCTTTATTGTATGGCGGAACCCCCAAACAGATAGAAACAGCTTCCGAGACCTTCTTCGTGGGGATCTACTTTTCTATCTTATCTATCTATATATTTGGGGGGGTCCAAATAGATCACACATGACAACCCTTCTAGACCCGTTCAAAAGGGACCTCTTCTGACTGCACTCCTTTACCGGGACCGCGGAACCTGGATGCGCTCAAGCAGTTCGACGTGGGAACGGGCACGTGCAGCTCATGGACTGAGGCTGGGAGACACTGTGAAATATGACCTCCACTTGGCGAAGCTCCAACACGTCTTCCGGTTGGCTTGAGCGGGGAAGTGTTCAGGTGAATGGCGTCAAAGACACGGCATGGATGTTGGGACGGGGAGGATTTGGAGTGCTATTCGTGGGGCATCCAAGCTTCAGTGCGCAATTGATTATGTTGATTAGTGGCAAAGGGTTGACAGGTGAAATTCAAGATTCCCATTGGCTGTTGTTTCGATGTTCGTGTTCCCTAACACTCACATGTATGTGATTATATAATGCATAATGTAATGTATATATATATATACACATACACACATCTATTCGGACGATGACTGCAGGAGCAACAGACATGTGTACTATATAATAGCATAATCCGTATATATATATATATTATATAATTGCATATATGCACATATCTATAATATAATATGTATATATATATATGATAACCCTCCCAATACCCTTGCTTCACTTTTTATTACTCATATTTACGTTGTTTTATGCAAAACACACACACACATATATATATATATATACGCACATTACTTTTATCTTTAGTGTTGATACCGTTTTTGTACAGACATTTTCTATTTAGTTTGGCTATGATTGTTAAATTAATTCGGGGGGATGCTGCCTGTGAAATCATCTTCAAACAAGGATACAACAAAAGTAGTAAAACAACCGATTGAAAACACAACACTTTGAGGAGAAAGATCGGTGTTTCCTCAAACGATGTTTTTCCCAACAGCGAAGCTTTAGGGGTCTTCAGCCATAGTATAGACTTCGGAGCAGGTTCCGGAGCAGGCTCCAGAGCACTCTGGAGCAGGTTCCTGAGGAGCAGGGTCCGGAGCAGGTTCCTGGGCCAGGTTCTCAAGCAGGTTCCCTAGCAGGTTCTGGAGCAGGTTTCGGAGGAGATTTCGCAGTCAACTTGCAAAAGCTTTTGCACGCTTAGGCTTGAGCCATCATGAAGTACGGTATTCCACTCAAGCCATAGCAGCCGTAGCAGCACTTTTGTGACAATTTTTGCTTTTGCCTTGTCAACGACCAGCGAACGTTCCGCAGCACTTCAGCAATGAGCGCGGTGATGTTCGTGGGCTTCGTCGAAGTCTGTGCACTGTGGACGTGCGCCCGCCGTGAAAAGGTACGCTACGCATCAGCATGAAGCTTGATGGTTTGAAACATAACTTCTAACTCTAGCAGTTGGGGACTTTTTTAGAGCTTATTTTTCTGGTTCTCCTTATATGTGTTTTTGGTTCTATATTGGAAAGCAAAAATCTATGCTTTTGGCTTTTAGATGCTTGTAGTTAAGCAAAGTCGTCAACCCAAAACTCAAAATCTCAAAACTTTGTTGTTTTTGCTTTTGTCGTTTTGGTTGTATGTAGCTTTAAGTGCAAGAGACTTGAGTTTGTTGGATCCTGTTATCTACAAGTATCTAAAGCCAAAGAAACAGTTCATTGGTTCTCAAAACAAAAATCTTTTGAATCAACACCGAACATTTCCCCTCAAAGTTTGTGTTTTTCCCGAAAGCATTGCGAAGGGTTCTTCCGGAAAATCCGTTGAACACTGACACTTCGACACTTACGCTTACACACTGACACTTCCACCACATTCGCACTACATACACTGACACTTCGACACTGACACTTACACATACACACGGACACTCGGCAAGCACGCAGTGTAAGTATGGGTGCGCAAGCATGCAATGAGCATGCAAGCATGCAATGAGTAGGCAAGTGTGAGTATGGAAAACTAGCACGGGAGATGTCCTAATGAAAAAACATTTCCCCACTTTATAAATTCTCTTTTCAAGGCGGAGGGCGGGACGAACAGCGTCAACCGAAAGTGCAACCCTCTGCGGAGATCGTGCGTGTCGAGTGCGCGAAATGCAGGCGAGAGTGCGATTTGCCGGCTGTGCGCGCAACCCTCTGCGGAGATCGTGCGTGTCGAGTGCGCGAAATGC